TTTGCAGCTAAATTTTGCAGCTAAACTTATGGTTCTCAATGACTAACTCTTTAAAAATACTAGATTTCCTGTTATAAGAAAAACACAACAACACAAAATCTCACTATGACATATTTGAAATTTCATTTTCTTTTAACCAAATTTCCTCTTCATTTTTAGTTTAACAATTTAAACTCTTTAGAAATTGCCTCTATATCAATGTATAAAAAATCCTAAACCTCAGGTTTCCAAGATTTCTGAAGTTAATCTGATTTATTTATCTAGCACGTTCAAGTTTACAGGAAACTTATGGAATCATTTTCAGTTTTTCCTTCACAACAGACTGGATTTGTATTTTCTACCTGTTTCACAGATGAAGATGCTGAGGCATAGAGAATGGCCAACGGCGAGCTCAATAAACCACAGGAGAGGAAATGGACCCAAGCTACCTAACATCAAAATCATGCTCATTTTGCTGTAATACACTGGCTCTTATTTTGTCAAATTTTACTATAAAAGCAGATGCAACCACATTTATTTTAAAACATTAACTGGAAACCCAGTGCAATGTGGAAAGACAGGCACCCACTGGGACTGAGTGATGCATGAAAAAGCTGTGTTGTCTTGGTGGAGGGGTGCAGATGCATTTCTCATCCTTTCTTCTCCCTTTTATATTTTATTATCATTATTTTGGGGAGGTTAGGTTTTTTCCTTTTGCTTTTCTTTTTTATTGAAGTATAGATGATTTACAATGTTGTGTTAGTTTCAGGTGTACAGAAAAGTTACTCATATATATATATATATATATTTCAGATTCTTTCCCATTATAGGTTATTACAAGATAGTGAATATAGGTCCCTGTACTATACAATAGGTCCTTCTTTCTCCTCTTTTAAGAAGAAAAATTGTGTAGCGAGGTATTGTGCTTTCCTTACACTAAGTTCAAGGTGTTGCAAAGAACTATTTGGAAAGGAACAAGGATGGTAGAACCACCTGTAATTTTTATTTATTTATTTTAACAACTTTATTGGAGTATACTTTCTTTACAATGGTGTGTTAGTTTCTGTTGTATAACAAAGTGAATCAGGTATACATACACATACGTCCCCATATCTCTCCCCTCTTGTGTCTCCCTCCCTCCCACCCTCCCTATCCCACCCCTCTAGATGGTCACAGAGCACCGAGCTGATCTCCCTGTGCTATGTGGCTGCTTCCCACTAGCTATCTATTTTACGTTTGGTAGTGTATATATGTCCATACCACTCTCCCACTTTGTCACAGCTTACCCTTCACCCTGCCCCACCTGTAATTTTTAAATCAAAAGGTGTTAGCTATAAAATGTTCAAACCTGCAGACCAAAATCACTGTTGAGACCATGATGCTTTCAAGTAAAGAGGAAACATGGATTGAAAACTCACGAGGAGAGTGACCAACAGTTGGCACTCAAGTTTCAAAGTAATTTACCAGCTGGGAAGGACAATGGGATTTGAGGTGAACAGGCTGAGCTGGAGGTGACAGCACTGTCCTGAGTCATGCTGCCTTCTGGGAGAGGGACAAGGGCTGTGAGCTCCTGAGCCAAAGGGGATCTTTCCCGGCTTTGTAGTTCTGTTGAGACGGCACCTGGACTAAGTCATGCCGCTTTGGGCTGCGTGGCAAGAGAAGGATGCATGCAGATTAGAAGGCATTCAGCCAAGGGATCCAAGAACAATTAAAAGAAGAGTGAGATTACCTTTCATGGACAGATACAAAGACTGACTGTACTTACTCTAAATGAAAATAGCAGGAGACTAGAAAGAGAACTGAAAGATCCTGAAGATCGAAGGGCTAGAGAATTTGCTCTCTCTGTCATGAGGGTCTAGAATTGCAAAAACCAGAACAAATGTAGGATGCTAAAATGCAGGTTGCTTGGCAGAAACAGGGAAGTTTTAACAAAACAGGGAAGTTATTTTCCTAGGAAGAGCTCAGAGTTAGGGAACCATTCAAAATCTATTCTTAGAAACTCAAAAACTGTATTTGTAAGGGAGGAACCATGTGTGGATCTGCTAGCATAGATCATCATCGATTACTATGACAATGTGACATAAAATAAAAAAGCTCTGTGTTGATCAATCATGTGTGCATTCTACAACCAGAGCTTTGAGAATAGAAAAAGGACACCTAAGATTCTTACAGCCATGACAGAATATAGAGTATCTCTTTGGAAGAAATTCTGGCATAAACTTCAAAGTGAATACAGGCACATTTCTGGAAGTGTGAACTCAGGGATATTCAAAGAGAGAAGGCGAGAGAACCGATTGGTGGGGAAGAAGACCATGTTTTGAGGCAAAGTCCTGCCAAATTAATTCTGTAGCCAATCTCAAGAAAAACTGAGACCATTAATAATTTGTTCAAAAATACATATTTCCATTCATTTTGCACATCCCTTCATGGGACTGGGAGTTTAGTGGTGGACAAGGGAGAAGGAACTTTCTAAGAAGTAAACTGTATACTGATGTCTGAAGTTTTGCTAGGAGTTAAAGAAGGTTGGGAAGAGAACAGCATATGGGAAGGCTGAGACACAGAGAGCAGAGCCCAGTGCAGAATTAAGAGGAGTCCAATATAGCTGCAAGGCCCAGAGGTGCAAGACACACAAACCCAGAGTTTATAACTCAGGTCAAGATATTTGAACCATGCAGAGGCTTTTGAACATTACCCCCAAACCAGCAGGGGAAACACTGAAAACTCTCAAATAGAAAAATGACATGATAAACTTGGTATTTTAGAGCAAACATCCTGGCTAGTAAATGGAGAATGGATGGGAAGGGTAAAATACTAGAGGCAAGGAGGTAAAATAGGAGTTTGTTGCAGAAGTCCAGAAAAGAAACAATGGTGGCCTAGACGAAGAGACGGAGGATGGTGATGGATTGAAGAGACTGAACAAATTTGAAAACTATTGTAAAGGAAGCACGCAGAGGCCTTGCTGCTTAATCAGATGGGCAGGCTTATATCCAGGGAGGCCTCAGTAAAGATGTCTAGGTTTCTCATTTGGATATTGAGCATGTGGTGATTCCATTCATGAGAAAACATTGAAATGGAATAAGGATTTAGGGGTGTGTAGAGAAAGAAAAGTAAAATCAGTTTGAAGTTATTGAGTCTGAGGGCTCTGGGAAATGGCCAAGCCTCAGGACAGGCATCGCATCTGTGAATGGAAAGGTCTAGGGTGTAAAGAGAGGCAAGACTAGAGATGCAGCTCTGGGAGGCTTCAGCACATAAGTGGTCACTACTGCCTGGAGAGCAGAGGGATGACCAAGACACAATGTAAAGAATTACGATCATGACAGTTTAAAATGATATACAGCCAAGCTTGAGGAACATCAACACCTAATGGCTGGTAGAGGAAGATAGTCCTGGGAAGGAATGAGAATGAAAAGCATTTGGAGATACCAGAAGGAGCCCAAGATCCAGCGGCATAGGTACAAAGACTCTATACAGAGATGAATCAGACAAATGTAGATTATTTCACTGCCCAGAGAAGCTGGGAAGTCTTCTGAGAGAAAGTGACAACTGGTCTGTGTCTTGAAGGCCGAACAGAAATTGCTGGAAAAGAAGTCGTGTCCTTCCCAAGAGACTGAGCGTGCAAAGTCAGAGAGTCACGTGTGGCCCAGCGTGACATGACTGAAGCACGAGAAGCAATTGCATGTTGCACGTGCAAAGAGTTTGTGGTGAAGAGATCTCTGAGGGGACATGGATGTACAGGGGTTTAGAGCAGGAGCCTGTGCTAAGGAGCTTGTTAAATGTAGGGGCCCTCAGAGCTTTAATAGACGGTAAGGAGTGTGTCCTCCTGGTTTAGAATCATATGGTTGGAACTGCCTAGAGACTACAGAACTATACAGAGAGGACATTTATTTAGGAAAGAGAATCAGTAGCTTTTGCTCTGAATGCAGGGGTGGAGGATTCTGCTTTTCTGGGAAGACAAGAGGGGGCCAGTTTTAGAGGTTGACAGGGAATCATTTAATTAGAGTGAACCTAATTGTGACCTTTTCCACGCATTTGTGTATTTCCATAAAAGAGAAAAATTAAAAAATAAATAAAAACTAGTAGGCAGTACTATTGGCTGGCTGAATGCCAGGAATTAAGAGGCAATAAAAAAAGATCCTAAAATCCTGGTGATGAATTTTTGTTTGACTTCCCTAAAGTTAAGCCAGAGATCCCAGACCATGGCTCAACCTCCGTCAGCATCATCAGTGTTACAGGGTCTTTGGAAGGGAGGGCAACTGCCATGAGATCAATCCATGTTCATGCTGACACTGAATTTGCCCTCAGACAGGTTAAGTAACTTGCCCGTGGTCAGAGTTTAAACATGGCTGAGTTGAATTTCTAGCCCAACTCATTCCCGTTCCCAAGGGGCTTTTTCCTTCTTTACATCAGCACTCTCTTTGCTCATTGATCACACTTAGGATTGAGCAGTATCCTGCAAAACAGTTGGCTGACCCTACTGCTTTCTGACTTTTTAGCTGCTGAATTGCCATGGACCAAGAGGCTAAAAGTTAGTGGCGTGGGGCAGAGGGAATCAGTATGCTCATTACCACGGCGGTGGTTCCCGCTGACATTGATGAAAACCTCATCTATGTGGGTGGTGAGGTTATGCTCTAATTACCTTTGATTTTTATCAGTGAATAAGCGCCTCTCCTTCTAGAAGCCCCCATAAAACTCCAGAGCAGAGGTAGCAATTGGGATGGGACCACAGGCATTCCTCATTTCCCACCCCTCCATATTTATTGAGCACCTCCTGGGTGAAGATGGCATGGGGCATCCTTCTCTTTCTTCTCGAGACGATTAGGCAGTTATATCCCTACACCACAGATAATGAAAATGAACCTTAAAGACTACATTTTTCTAAGGTCGCATCTCAACCTGGGTTTCCATAGAAGTAATTGTATCCTTCTGAATAATAATTTACACATCTGTCTCCTCCATGATACAGTGAAAAGTTGACTGGAGAAAGAGAAGTCTTCCATCTCAGAGTCCCCAGTGCTCAGCAGTTTTGGCGCATGTAGTTTGGGCTCCATGCTCATAGTTGCACAGGCAGCAATGAGAAGCTACGATTTGTCAGGCCCTGGGGTTCCAGTAATGATGTTAGTCACTCTTGTAGAGTTTCCTCCCCCTGATTTTGTGTTCCATCCATTGTTTAATTTTAATGGTCTCTTCCTTGTAAAGAAGGTCGTATTATCATCCTTGCTTTTGCGAATGTAGAAACTAGGAACCTAAGAGTTTAAAAGACCCACCTCCGTTCACAGGGCTTGCTACGTGGTAGACGGGGAATTGAAGCCACAACTTCTGATCCTGAATGATGTACACATCTGTCATGCAGCCACCAAGATGAATAGGACCCCATCTGCACCCTCAGGAAGATGCTCATCTCAGAAAGGTGCTCTCAGGAGATAAAGTAGGGATCTGTGTTTCCCCTTCTCTGTTGCTTGGGGTGTATCTTTGGGCTCCAGTCAAGCATCCACATGTTTGAAAGGGATTAATTCTCTGCTTGGAGAGAAAAAGCAAATAGGTCTCAGACCTGTCTTGAAAAATGGTTAAGTCATAATTAGAAGACTGCTTCTTTGGTGGTCAGTGGCTTCCAACTTATCTCTTTTCACCACAGCAGTTAAAAAGAGGCTGCCAGCCAACCCCAACCAGAGATGATCCAGGAGATCCTTGCTCCACGTGATGTCCTAGCCATGGCACCCCTGGGGAGAGGATAGGAATTCAGCGGTGAAAAATGCCAGTATGGGTTATTGCCATAATTGCTTTCTGGAAAACAACAAATCTAATTCCCAGTAAAATATTAGACTTTGCCAGGTCCTCTGATGGGGAAAATAAAGTGCCCTTTCTAGAAATTTCTCATGCTCTGTGGTTTCTAGAGAGATTCCAAAGACGGCAGAGAAAGATAATGTGGTGATACGATTTTGGAAACTATGTTTCCCTGCTCTGTCAGATGTCTGTGGACTCTTCACAGACAATGAATTATAAAGCCCAATGTGATTTTTTTTTTATTTCTATGGGAATAATGGCTCTAGAGACATTCAGCCTGGGTTCAGTCCTGCCATTTAATGAAGGTCATAAAGCCCTAATTTTGTTGTCTCTAAAATGGGGCTAATACTAGAACTTTCCTCATAGGTTTGACAGGAGCTTTATATGTTAGTCCCGGTTAAGCACTCAGCCTTGTGCCTGGCACAACAAATGTTAGCAAAGATCATGATTATAGCACTTGTACTGTTTCCTCTTCTTTCTCTTTAAGCTAGGGTGTTGCAACTGAGCTGTTTTACTTAATGACTCTTCTTTCTTCTGTGTCATCACTTCCTTACTGAATTGATTGACTTACTGTGAGTGGAGAACTCTCCAAAGGTAGTTTTGTGTGCTCAAAACACCCAACAATGCTCGGGGATAATTTCTAGCACTGGTTCAATGTCCATGGCCCTGAACTTTGTGGGGAGAGGATGGGTGAGTTGGGTGCTGAAGTACACAGCAAGAAGACTCAATTCGTTTCTTGTGATAATTGAAATCGTTTCAATTCATTTCCTTCTTGGTTGGCCAGAAACATGTTTTCAATAGTGAGCAAATCTGGAGGGAATCCACTGACCTGAGCAGTCTTATAATACATGAAGTTAATGGACAAAAAATGATATTCATCTCCAGTTTATAATAGCATTTTTTCCCACAACACCTAAACTTAGGGGCAGCCAGGGATGCTATTGGAGCAATAACGGCACCACTGGTGGGTGGATGACCTTTGTTGTATCTAACAATTATTGGATCTATGGTGAAATAAAATAAAAAGCAACCCAAGTTTTGACACTAAGATAATAAATTATAAATTATGGAAGTCTACGCCACTGAGGATCTTGTAAACAACAGGCTGGTATCTTAGCAACAGACCAAGGAGATCAGACTGTTGATAGGAACACAGCAGGCAGGATTGCTTGGCAGGGATTACTAGGAGGACCAGGAACAACATTTTAACACCGGCCCAAGGCCCCTTCTCTGCCCAGAACTTCTTTCTCCAGTGACCAGTCTGGGCCACGAGCAAAAGCTGTCCTAGGATTTCAGTCTCTTCACCACCAACCCAGGTGCCAGACCCCATAGAGAGGACAAAAGGGGCACAGGCTTAGGAGTCATGGGGTGCAGTGAGGATGCCCTACACGCAAGTGAGGGAATCAGAAAGGGAGAAGAAGGAGAAATAAATACATTCTCATTTGACGTTGTCTGCAGTTAGAACTCTATAAACAGGAAATCCTTTTCTTTCCCTTGTGCCCAGCTCTTTTGGTTTTTAAAATCTCACTTAAGGTGGTTGTCATGAAGAAATTTAGACAGGACTTTGACAATGTTCCAAAATGGTTTATTTTTAAATGTTGTTCCCGAAAACACCAGAACATTAAGTTAGAGCAAATGTTGCTTGGAAGAGTGGTGGGGTGGTGGTCACACAGACATTGGAGGGAGGGAGGGGGGTTTAAGGTCTGTAGACTTTAATTATCAGAGGTGGTTGGGCTAGACAATTCAGTTGCCTGGAAGCATTTTTAAAAAGTGTGTGTGTGTGTGTGCATGTGTGTGTGTGTGTGTGTCTTTCTAAATTGCAGGGCCTTTTCAGGGTTGGGGTGGAGAGAGAGGTTTTCTTTAATTAATGAGATGTTTACCTGGAACATCTTCCCTCAGTGGTTTAGACAATCACCGGCCTACATGTTAGGAATGAGATTTGATAAAGTCTCTTGGAGTGTACTTTTCCTAAAAAAAAAATCTTAGGATGCTTAGTAACAAACGGGTTCTCTCTCTGTGATAGAAACAGCGAGTTCTATATTATCCGTCCATGAACAGAGTGACGTGGGTGCCAACTCAGGATATTAAGAAAATATCAGCCCCTAATTGTACAGGGACCACATGACCTGCATCTCCCTCTATAGTACTCACTTCATGCATTTTATTGTTTCAGAATAAATGTGGCTGGCTAAAGTATGATGACTTTGGGTGTATTTGGCATGTCATTTTAAACTTTCCATACATATACATTTACCATTTAGAAGAAAGAGAAAATTCTCTGTGGTTCCCCGGGGCCTGCTTTTATTCTCAAGCTCCCTCTGATACCATGAAAAGTGGCTTGGTGACACCCAAAGTGATTAGCTCCCGTCCTGAGGTTTTAGAATATATTTGTGCTTAGAAGCCATCTGCTGGGATGAAATTCTATCCGGGGTAGTACCCTGGCCCCAGTGGAGAGGGGTCCTGGGTCTGTAAGATGCCTGTCATGGCCCCTGGGTCTGAGCCCCTTTGCATCTGTATCCTTAGCACCCAGGGAAGCTCCTGCAATGAAGGTACTATGACCTCATTCTGCAGGTGGGGCCTCAGACGCCAACAATGTCAGCTAACTTTCCCAAGCTTTGTTCCAGAGTCCACATTCCAGTCCAGGACTGAGTGACCTCAAACTTTTCCGTGCTGTCTCCACCACTGGCCTGATGGCCTGCCCTGGAGACAGGTCATTACCAGGTTTCCTACCTGGTTCAGTCTTGCTCTTTCTTCCTCCTTTTTTTAATTTAAAAAGAAATGCATCAACACACATTATCATTAAAAATCAACAATACACAAGACATAAAGTTAAAAGGTAAAATCTCCCCCATCCCCTATCCTAGCCCTCCAAAATATCACACCCCCAAAAATATCTTAGCAGATCTTTTTAGAACTGAAGTTTCACTGTTTGCAGGGAAGTCTTCCTGTACAGAAAGAATATGATCCCTTTTCTTCTGTAATTTGTTTATAACTGGCACATTTTGAGGAAATAAGAAGTAATCTCTATCTTTGATGTGTTTTAGTTTCACTTATCTTGTCAACATACCATGGAGAAGGTCGAGCTCTTTGAATCACCCCCCTTCCACCACACATTGTCTCCAACTCTGAATCACCAAGGTGGACCTCTCCAGAACCCACCAACCTTGAATCCGTGAAACTTGGAGTCAGAATTCACAGCTGAGCACATCAGCAGTTCCGGTAAGTTCGATCTTGCCAAAATGAGTTCTCCCCTTTCCCCACTGAATCAGAAACCTGCCTGTTCACCAGATTCCCCAAGTGATGTGTATGCACAGTCAGGTCGGAAAAACCCAGCTCTGGGCTCCGCTTCTTTGGAGGGAAGACACAGAACAATTAAGAAGCCATCGAGAGAAGCTCAGACTTACAGTGGAAACTCCTGGAACGCGATAGAAATGCACCACGAGACGGCTGTCAGCTCAGACCCTAGCTGCTCAGAGAAAGTTGAGACTTGTTTCTCCTCTGAAGAGGCCGGATTTCAACTAAATTGTAGCAAAAGTTGTCAGGACACTTTCCGACTTAGTGCCTTGCAGCCCTGCCTAGTCTCCGAGATGGTCTTACTTGTCCTGCCTCACTTTGGGAAGAGCTGGGGCTCGGGCCCAGGCAGAGAGCAAGACCTTCCTTTGCAGCGGGTTTTCTCTGGGGTGGCTGGGTTCCGGGTCCTGCTCTCTGCCTGGTGCCCTGCAAGCTCGTTTTAATGCAGCCCCTCCAGGCTCCCTGGCTCCACAATGCAGCGCACCGGCTGGCAGCAGTCCAGCTCCACGCTAAACACTTGGCCCCGTTTCAACACGGCTGCCAAGATTTGGCAACCAGAGAGGTGCAGGGAAGCAGCAGGCTGCTAAACCCTTTCACATTTTTAATTAGATCCACACACCCATGTCTTTGAGCTATCATAAATATACAGATGACATAGAGAGTATTATTCCAACTCTTTACCGTTGTCTATCTTACCTTATTAAAAGAATTGACCTATCGCTAGTTGCGGGGATGAAGAGGAAAAGAGAGGGTAGTGCTATTTGCTTGAGTAAAACTCTGTCTGCTGGAGAGCATCTACCCAGGTTTCGGAAAACACAGGTCTCCGGCCGCCTGCCTTGCTGTCATGCTGGGCTTTGAAAGCATCACCAGAAGGGGGCGTTCTTGGCAGCCGCTCAGCCTCCCGCAGCCTGGAACTCGCTGGGGCAGGGGCGGGGGCGGGGCGGGGGGGGTGTCGTAGGAGTTGTCAAGGCCACCTCGTCCTCCCTTTCTGGGTGAAAGCCTCCCCACCCTGCAGAGCGATGGGGTTGACACTTCTGTCCTAAAAAGCAGTCAATTTTACCTTCAACGTGGCTGTACTATTTCTACCACTTTACCTCTTCTGCTGTTTCGTCTTTGGGTATCGTTCACTGTGGAATATTATAACCGCTGCTTCTTATTTTTTCTAAATTTCTTGCCACAGTAAGCATACCCAGCTTCTTTCCCTCGGATGCATGCTTCCCCCTCCACTCAGTTCGCGGCTGATTCTGCAGTGGTGGGAGCGATGGGACAGTAACATCCTGAGTCCCGTCATCCTCAGCTCCAACGCCGGCTCTGCCACATGGCTTTGGACACACGATTTCAAAGCCCTTCGCTTTGGTTCCTTCATCTGAAAGATCTGCAAGAAGTCTGACCTCAGAGATTGTGTCTGGTGGTTAAATGACGTCATACACGTGAGGCTCCTAACGCTGTCAACCCCCAGCGCCTGATCTTTATTACTGTTGGCAAAACGCACAGCAACACACGTGGCTTTCAGAGGCTCAGCAGACCAACGGCAAAAGGACAGCTAGGGTTGGCTCTTCTTAGAATTCTCCACCCCTACCCGGTGTCCCCTCTCTTTGGTGACAAGGACCACCTGTGATTCTCAGACAACCGACTGTAGTTGGGCTAATTGCTGCGATCTGAAGGCGAACAGGTTTTGACTGGGCCTCGGCAGGGGTATGCATGTCCTTAATTTTAAAACACGTGAAGAAGGGGCTTCCCTGGTGGAGCAGTGGTTGAGGGTCCGCCTGCCGATGCAGGGCACACGGGTTCGTGCCCCGGTCCGGGAGGATCCCACATGCCGCGGAGCGGCTGGGCCCGTGGGCCATGGCCGCTGAGCCTGCGCATCCGGAGCCTGTGCTCCGCAACGGGAGAGTCCGCAACAGTGAGAGGCCCGCGTACCGCAAAAAAAAAAAAAAAAAACAAAAAAAAAAAACATGTGAAGAAGGAAATGAAACACTTGAAATGCCAGGAAAGAAGTCTCTCTGGTCGTCCTGTCTGAGAGCACAAAGCGTATAGAACTGTGGAGGCATCCACCACATGGCTGCAGGGAGATATCCAACCCAGAGGCAGGTTGCTGTCGCCCTTTTATCCCCAACTCTTTGCCGGATGTCATGGACATTCGGCAGGATTTGGTCTTTCCTCTTGTCTTTCTTTGATTTAGTTTTTTTGTGCCAACATTTCCTTTCTATTTTTCCTGCACACAGGACAGTCAGACAAACTGGAATGACCAGGTCCAGTGAAATGGGCTGGAGATATTTCCAGGCCCAACATGTGCCTTCCAGCAGACGCAAAGGCTGAGGACAGACCATGAGCAGGGGTCTGGGCGTCTCATTTTTCCCTGCAACTCTGCATGGAAAGAAGTTACCATTTTCCCTGCAACTCTGCATATCCCCAAATCCTTACCTCCTTGTCCCCAAAACCCACCAGCTACAGGAAATTCCCTTTAGTTAGGAGAGAAAGGATAGAAGACACGCACACAGGTAATGAAAATGGAACGCCTGCGTGAGGCACGTTTCACCAGGAAATGCAGAAGGTGGTGATCTCTGCCGTGGCTACAGGCCAGCCCAGGTTGAGTACCAGGTATCTCCAAGGTCCTAATCAGTCTTCGATGGGGAGGCTATCGCTGCTCATTATTAGTTATGTATACAAGAAGCAGCAGCTAATTTCCATGAGGGGAAAACAGTGCATAATCTGGATAATGCCCTTCCCGGAGCCAAAAGTGTCAGGCTGAAGTCCGTTCTGTTGCTGCTGCCACCGGCATGTCATTCCCACCTGTGTACCAAGGCAGTGGGCACAGAGACAGCCTGACCCTTCCTGTGCCCTGGGTGGGGTGGGGTGGGGGGCACATGAATGAATGCACGCGTTGAAGGTTTTTAAGGCTGTATTCGGTGGCTTGGGCTGCTATAACAGAGCATCATGGCCTGGGGGGCTTAAACAACAGAAACTTATTTTCTAACATTTCTCAAGTCTAGAAGTCCAAGATCAAGGTTCTGGTCAATTTGGTTTCTGGTGAGAGCTCTCTTCCTGGCTTGTAGATAGCCATCATCTCCCTATGGCCTTTCCTTAGGTCCATGAAGGAGGTGGAGAGGTAGGGGGGAGAGAGAAAGTGGGAAGGCTCACAAGCTCTCTGGAATCTCTTCTTAAAGGATACTAATTCTATAAGATCAGGGCTCCACCCTTACGGCCTTATTTAACCTTAATCACTACGTTAGAGGCCCCATCTCAAGTCACAACCACACTGAGGGCTACGGCTTCAACATGTACAGTTTGGAAAGACACAAACATTCAGTCCATCACAAAGGCATCTCATGTGCTATGAGGAAGGAGATGGAGTCAGCCAGGGATGCTACACTCACTTTACCACCTATTAGCTGTGTGACCTTATGCAAATCAATTAGCCTCTCTGAGCCTTGATTTCCATGTTTGAAAAATGCAGATAAAAATGCTTCCCCCAGAGTCTGATTGTGAAAAGAACGGGTGAGGTAATGCACACACGAGGCCTAACCCAGGGAGGTACTCAAAAAAGGAAGCAGTTGTGGTGGTGGTGATGTTGTTAGTTACCATTTGATATCATTATTAACACCACCCAGGCATCCTTGTCCAAAATGCTGGCTTAGAGTTTTGCATCCTCTGTACTGCTGCTTATGTATCTTACCCTTTATCACCAATGCTCACTGGTGTCAGTGAGACAAATAGGAAGTATAATAATGTGTAGCAGTGTTTACCGTGGAATCCAGAGGAAATAAGAGAGCTCAGTTCCAGGGGAGGGGCTATATAATTACTTAACTATTAGAGAACTATGCATTTATTGTTGCTACCATTATGCATGAACACAATCATGGCCCCCTTGTTTGAAACTTTTTTTTTTTAATTTTTGAAGCAAACAACTTTTTACTGAAGTATGGTTGATTTTTAATGTTGTATTAGTTTCAGGTGTACACATATGTGTATATATATATATATATGTATATATATAATTTTTCAGATGCTTTTCCATTATAGGTTATTACAAGGTATTGGATATAGTTCCCTGTGCTATACAGTAGGTCCTTGATGTTTATCTGTTTTGTGTATAGTGGCGTGTATCCGTTGCTTAAAGCAAAAGTCCTGCAGGAAAAAGAAACATAAATATTTTCTACATTGGGCGTCTAAAGCTAAGGAATCCAAGCTCACACTGCCAGGAAGAGGCAGAACTCACGTTCAAACAAAGGACTATGCAATTCCAAAGGCCACGCTCTAAGCTTCACAATTCTGCCTTAGTCAGCAGTTGCAACAACAATGCTGCAGAACAAATCATCTCAGCCCAGTGCTCACAGCAGTAAATATTTATTCTCATGCTCCCTGGCCTCAGGTTCACCACAGTTCTGTTGAGCGAGGCTTGGTTCACTGCAAGGCTCTGCTCCAGGCTGCGTGTTGGCTGGATGTGGTCTTAGGCTGTAGATTGGATTCGTGTCCACTCAGTGTGTATTCGTTCTGGGTCCCAGGCTGGAGGGGCGGTGACCACACCAGACACATTAGGACACAATTCCAGAGAAGGGCAAGCACATCTAAGGAGTCTGATTGCATCATGTCCACTGGCAATCCAGTGGCTAAGCCCAGTCATGGCCAGGCCCAACATCAGGGAGTGAGGAAGCAAAGTATGGGCACACCCATGCGGGGAGGGCGGGAAGAGAGTAAAGTTTAGCTGCGCGATAGCCCAAACTAAGAGTGCCCTGCAAACAATGACGAACAGAAAACCAGAATAGTGACAACTGCCACCCCTCTGGTTTCAGCAGGGTTGCACATCCCCAGAAGACATTTCTAGTGGTTTACAGCCAGCATCCATTCTGATTTGGAGTGTCAGCTCTGACTGATCAGTGCCCAAGCCTTATTGACTTCAAGATATTTTGACTCTCACCCTTGATTAT